CCGCCGCCCACCGCCGCCGTGCGCCGCCGCCGACCGCCACCTTTTCCAGCCAACTTTCTCCGATCGTGCCGAATTTTATATCAACGCGAAACTCTCGTCGACACCAACAACATATCCGAACCTCAACGAAAAATTCCAGCGAGAAGACTTCCTATTTTCTGGCGAAAGCTCGTAGATCTATAATTCTCTTCAACTTTCAAATTCAAATTGTCGGTGACTCACATGGACCACCGAAATCCGAAGGTACCCCCAGACTCGTCTCGCCGGACCGCACATTTTTCTGGCCACCGTCGCCGGATCCGGTGAACTTTTTCGGCTACCATTTTTTCCGGCGAACGAGCACCCACCGAGTTTTCGGTTAGTATTTTTTAGCCTTTCTTGTTATATGCCATCGATTCCTTTCGTTTGGTACTTTTTCCGGCGACCGGATCTCCGATTTTTCTATATTTCTCTATTTACAAACTCTGGCGACCGTTTTTCTCGAAATTTTCCACGGTCCAACGTCTCGATTTCGATTTGTATTTTTGTACTTTCATTATATGTGTTGTGCTTGGATCACTACTCTTGCCGGAGTAGTCGTATTGAGATATTTGGGTTAGATTTGTGTGTTTCGACATGTCTTGCCGGGCGTGCCACATATATGTGTGTTTTTGCCGGGATTTTGAGTTTGTAGGTACCTACTTACGGCAAGCGCCGTTAATCGTTTATGCGTTGCATACAAACGAAGCTCGTTGTGTTGGACCATAGCAGGGATCGACAAGGACTTCGAGGCCCGATTTTTTCGCTTTCACGTGAACGTGTGTCTACGTCGAGTTTATGCATTCACGGTTACCACCTCTCCGAGACACACACACACATAGCCTCTCTCGTTTCAAGTGCTTAAACATTAAACCATTCGGATGGCTCCATTTCATGCTCAATGGCCTTCGGTTGACCTCCTTTATTCCCTCCGGACGACCATTACCAGACACACGGTGGTGACGACCACTGTGTCGAGTACGCATTTTATTTTCTTATTTTCTCTTTCTTTCTTTGCTTTATGTGTGTCTTTGTGTTATCTTATCTCGTTTCGTTGATTTTTGTCTCTCGTTTTCATTTTTATCGCATGAACTTACGTGATTATGTGCCTTCTCTTATGCTTTTTGGTCAAGCAATAAGGACATTGTTTTGTTTTAAGTGTGGGGGAGGGATTTCATGATTATGCATGTTTAGGTGATGTTTTCTTCGTTTTTGTGCCTTATTTTTTTGTTTTTGTCGTGTCGTGGACCGGTTTTATTTGAGTTTTTGCGTGTTTGTGTCATCTCTCCCGCATGAAACTTGATGTTTGTTCGAGAGTCGAGATAGCTAAGTGGTGAGTCGAGATTATTGATTGGTTTCACTATTAGCATTCATGCTTAATGTACTTGATGAATTTGACGGTTTCCTTTAATTGATTGATGATTCGTTGATAGTGGAACTCGCATGTGGATTAACGGAATTGTTTTGTCCTTTGTTTGTTCTCGATTGGTTGTCTTGAGGCATGCTTACCTTATGTTCAATTATCGTTGTAACGTGTTATCTATACACTTTGTGTACGTTGTAATTGAGTTTTGATGATTATGATTGTATTCGTGATGTACCTTTGTGTGCCACCCCATAAAAAAAAGAGAACAAAAAGTGAGTTCGCGAGGAAGTACGGATTAGGCTCCTCTTATTCCGAGCCATTCGTGGATTGGGATAATGAGCCCGGGAAACCGGTTTAGGAAACTCGAGGAAACCCCTTGAGGGTTAAACCTAGATCATCTCGTCCTGAAACCTCGTTTGGAAAAAGAAGCTCACGAAATGAGTTCGTAGGAGTCGAAAGGATTAGGTTCCTCTTGGCTCGGTTAATCTTCGAGATAGATCGGGTCAATGAGCACGGGAAACCGGCCTAGGAGACTGGGGGATGACCTTGAGGTTAAACCTAGGTAATAATCGTCCTAACGGCTCTCATTTGGAAAAAGTGGCTCATTTAAAAAAAAAAAAATCGGGGAGTTGGCTTATTGATCTTGTGCTTATTATGTCATGTTTTGTAGATCACTTATGGTTTTTGCACGTATATGTGAATGAGGAGGTTTGACTCGAGTGATCATTTGTGGAATGACTTGGGACGAGTTTTTGTTTTGTTTGATTCATTATGTGAGGACCGTGTCACGGATTGGATTTTGATTTAGGGATAACCGAATGATAATGAGAGTGTCATTTTGCATGTTCGTTAATTTTGGCTCGTTCAATATATATCTTCGAGCTATTTGTTATTTTGTTTGCTTGAGGACAAGCAAAAAGCTAAGTGCGGGGGAGTTGTTTTTTATGTTTTTGTGCTTATTTTTATGTGTTTATGTGAGTTATCGAGTTGAGTTTAGGTTCGTTTTAGTGTCGACCGGTCCATTTTGTCGCATTTTGTGTGATTTTATGTTTTTCATTTCATTTTATATTTTGGCGTACTTACTCGTGCTTTTGGTATATTTTCAGGTTTATTTCCGAGGTTGAACGAGAAGAGTCGAACCGTGAATCCCAAGAAATGTCGAGCCATTCGCACGAACCATTTCAAACCGAGATTTTTGAACCTTATTCGATGCGGTCACAAGTTAAGCAGGCCAAACTCGCGAGCTCGCAGCCACACCCGCGCGCCCGCGCGCCGCACGCCAGCACACCCGCACAACCGCGCACGACGCTCCTGCCAACACACGCGTGCCGCCCGCCAACTCGCGCGCTCGCGAAGGACCTGCGAGCTCGAGAGTAACCCGCCCGCATGCTGCACGCTACCTGCCACTCGCGTGCTCGCGCCAACGGCCACGACCTCGGGAGTGCCCCCGCGCCCAAGAAGCCCCTCACTCGCGTGCCCGCGACACCAACGGCGAGCTCGAGAGTGTCTCCACCCATGCACATCACCTCCGGCGAGCTCGCGGAAACTGTGGAGAGCTCGGGAGTGTTTTACTTAATGTGCATTTTTCTAGTGTGTGTTTGGGCTGGAGTATAAATATTTTTGTTCCTTTGCATTTTGGACATCATTCTCTCATTTTCCACTTTTCCTCTTTTGGAAATTAGTTTATGTTTTATTTTTGCTCTCTAGATTAGGAGCTTATGCTATTTTCCGGGAGATTTTCCGGCGACTTCGATTTCGTCCAACTTTCGAGCTTTTGACTCCGTTTTTCATCGTCTACGCAATGGGAGATTGAGTATTTAGTTTTAAAGCTCTTTACTTCGTTTTTGCTCCGGTTTTACTTATAATGTTCATTAGAGTAAATTGAATTTGATTGATGATGGTGGAAATGCTTGAACTTGATTGCTTGCTTGAGTAGATGGAGCCGTTAATTACTTGTTGATCTCGGTTAGACGACTAGGGTTAGCAATCTAATGCTCGTAGCTCGTTTATTTCGTTTGTTGATTGATTATCATCGCGATATGGTCATGGCATGAGACTCCGGTAATCTAGTTTGCTAAATACTCGCGATTTCGTCTTGCTTCTAGTTGATTGCTCGTTTTTTAAGTGCTCGATTAGTGTTAATCAACCATCCAATCAATTGTTTAGAATGTTTAGGATTTTATTTTCGATTTTTGTGATTTGAGCGATTGAATAGTAAGTAAAGCTCCGAATAGCCTTCCTTTGAGATCGACCCGAGTCGGGTAGCTCGGTTATCCCTTGCCCACCAAATCTTTACAAAACAGTAGAGAGACATCTTTCACTCCTCACATCGTTGGGCAGGCTCACTGCCCGTGGCTGGATAGGCTGCACGCCACCACACCGCTACATGGTGGCTCCCCCTGCTCCTATTCGGCCCCCTCGTCCCAGAGCTGTTGTTTGGCTTCTACCCGACTCTCCTTGGGTCAAGCTGAACACTGATGGCTTTTTCGGTTGCCAGACCGGAGTTGCCGGAGGAGGAGGTTTTATCCGGGACCACAGCGGCACCCTCATCATCGCCTTCCACACGTACCTTCAGCCCTCATCGAGTTATGATACAGAGATTCAGACATTACAGATTGGCCTTCAGATTGCTGCCCACCTCTCTAGTCATATTTGGATCGAGCTAGACGCTGCGGCTGTCGTCAACCTCCTGACTTCGGGCCACCAGGGCTCGTGGCAGATTCAGCACCCGCTTATGCGCATTAGAGCTCTTCTTCGGTCTGTCCATCACAGGATCTCGCACATATTCCGTGAGGGAACAGACCTGCTGATTACCTTGCCAGCCTTGGCGCCACCATACCAGACACACACACGTTTCAGACTGACATTGCTGCACTCCGCCTTCGCACGCTTGTTCGGATGGACCAGCTTGGATATCCATCGTTCCGTTTTCAGTAGATTAGGTTTATTGCTTTCTTTAGATTAGAATTTTATTCCGGGCACCTGTTAGACCGAAGACAAACTTTGTATTGTTATTTCTTTTTTGCCTTCTGATTTACTCGTGAGACCTTGTAGACTGTAGTCGTTGATATTCTGGGCCCCCGTTTTGGGGCGTTGATCTATGCACAGGTTGGGGATCCTGCCCAATCCCCCGCCCTTCCGGGGTGTTGTTTTTTTTATTTTTTTTTTAAAAAAAAAACTAGCAACAAAACACAACTAACCTAGCAACCACATAGAACTAACCTAGCAACTACTAACCTAGATGCTCTCACTTCTCTCTAGCTTCCTCTCTCTACCCCTTACCCTATATTCTCCTTCCGCCTGCCTATCCCCCGTTTCCGCCCCATCCACCGCCTCCGTCTAGCCGCCCCTTCGGCCGCCACCGCCGGCGGCCCTCTGGCCGCCGGGCCTGTCCGTTTCTCAGTCGTTTTTGTTTCAGCCCCGTCTTTCCATGGACGCTCCGACAACTATCTCAGCCTCGGAGCTGGATCTTTTCCTCTCACAACCAGATTTTCGCGAGGCAATAGCAGCTATTCTCGGAAAAAATAAAAAAATACAAAAGGATAAAGTAGCAAGCAAAGTCTTGGAAGAAGGTGAAATTTTGGCAGACCAAATCGAGAAATCAACGACAGAGTTTCGAGTCGGATCGCTACCAGTGACTCTCCGTCAAGATCCGCTTTCGCCGGATAAATCGGCCAACCCGCCGATGCCAGATCCTCTGCTAACCAATGGCGGCGTTGACTTTGGATCGCAGCTCCATGGCCAAGTGGATGGAGCGTCTGATTCCCCTCAGCTCACATGTCACGCGTACGGGCCGGACCTTGCCAGGTTAGAATCGGGCCTATCCTATTTTGGGCCTCTTAACAGCCCACAAACTACATTAAATCAAAGGCCCAACTTTCATCAGCCTGGGCCCGCCCTCTTAAACTCACATTCCTTTAATCAACAATTTGGGCCATCCCCTACTTTAGCCCAACATGCTCTCCATTCTCAACCCATTCCGTCAATTCACCACTCCCAACCCAATTCCCAGCCCGCTACAAAATTTAAGCAGCAAGATTCAGTTCAACCAATTCCTTCCCCGACTAACAACCATGAAGAAAACGCCAACCTCGATTCCAGAGAATCCATCAGACTTGTACAGGAAGAGGGCGTGGCAATTGTGGGACCAATTACATCAGCTGCGGACTGCACTCCCGTACATACCCCGTTCGTGGCGTCTACGACGGCTGGCCCAAACTCAGCGGCTGCGGCTCAACCCACCGGACATTCTTCAACCGGGCCACAACCGAAAGACACCTCCACGGCCAATCTCACAACAACCGGGCCAACTACAGAATCACCCACTGGCCAACCTTCATTCCGAGATGTTGTTTCGGGAAAGAGAGTTGGTAGTCCGTATGCCACGCGGTCGAAAAATGGAGGCTCGAGCTCCCCGAACACAACACCGAAAGACTTCCCATTCGACGGGAATTACGAACATGCTTGCGGCACCATCATCCGCTCGGAGGGGAACAAAGTGAAGGCCCGCTTCTCCGACGCTGAATCTGGCGACCTGTCAGGTAAACTAGATAACACCCTGGTATTTAAGTTCTCATATGCTATCCCCGCCCCTCGAGATATATCTGCTGGATTAAGGAAATTGGGTTTTAAGGGTAGTGTATCATCGAAGTGGTTCAACTTTAACCACCTTCTAGTGACCTTCCACCTCATTGAGGATTATAATGAGGTCTGGCTTAAGACCTTGATTCATCTGTGTGGATGCCCAGCTAGGGTATTCAAATATTATGTCGGGTTTAACCCTAAGACGGAGGCGCCGATTGTCCCTGTTTGGTGCTGTCTTCCGGGCCTCCCACCCCACCTCTACGACCGTGCTGCCATCACTACACTTGCTAAGTGTATAGGGCAGCCGATCCGTATTGACGCCCACACGGCCCTTCAGACGAGGGTTAGCGTGGCGCGATTTTGTGTCGAGATAGATCTCAGAATGGAGCTCGTTCATGAGATCGAGATTGAACAGGGCTCCGAGTCCTTTGCTCAGCGGGTGATCTACGAGAAGATCCCCGCTTTCTGTACTGAGTGCAGACATGTTGGTCATATTGCGGCCGACTGCTATATTAGTGGCAATAAGCCACGTCCCTCTCTGCCTCAGCGCCGTCGTACGGCCCAGCCGGGAACCTCCGACAGTCGGAGGGAACCGAAGGAAAAGGGCAAAGGCCCTCTCCAGGCACCCGGGTCCCCAAAGGGGGCCACGGATAAGGGCAAGGCGAAGATGGACGCCATTGCCCAAACTGGAAAGGGTGCTCACCCTGACCAGTCTGACCATTTGATCTTAGTTGGGCCCAAGGCCAAGGCCACGGGCTTCCTTCCCAGAGATACTCTTCAGTCGGCCTTCAAGGCCAAACATTCGTTCTTTGCTCCTCTCTCTATTGAGTCAGAGGATGAGGCTGAGCCACACTCTACGGACCCACACTGTCTCCAAGACCTTGGCTATTTAGATGATGACGACCT